TAGCCCATGTTATTTAACGTAAAAAGTTATGTAAGACCCATACATTTTTTTCTATTTATTTGCTACCGTTTTGTAAATAACAGAAAAAAAAAACAGTTTTGTTTGAGCCCTTTTAAGGGCATATAACTTCCTAAGGGTGCGTTTTAGGGTACATGTTAATAGGAACTTTTTGGCTTATTTTAATGAATTATAAACGCAGCAGAAGTTTGGAATCCTATTTTAGAAACACCCTGTATATCTTTTTTTATATTAAATAAATTGATGGATTGTTCAAAGAACACTTGTGTATATTCTCAAAACTCAAAATATCACGAATAAGAAAGACATAGTAAAAAATAAAAGATATTTTTAAGGCAACCTTAGCCACCTCTATGTTTTAGGAATAAGTAAATTATATCCATGTAGAATTATCCCAAAATTACTTTTGGGCCAAGTTTCATCGAAATATCTTGAAAAGTGATGATGTAACAAAAAAATGTTTCTGAAGGCCAGCAGCTTTTTAAAGTAGTATTTTTTTACTGGAGTATATGACGTTAATTACTTTGTTTTGATCTTCTGAAGGTCTGGTTATTTTTTCATGATTCATTATTGTTATCATATACGACTACCTAAATGCAATAAAAATTTAATTCAAAGTAACTTATACACTTCAGGCATCTGAATACAGCCATGACCCTCTCCCTGTAATGATTTTCTTCCATGGAGGCGGCTGGATTTGCGGAGGAGGAAATTCCCTATGGTATGGTCCCGATATTCTTCTAGACAGAGATGTAGTCCTGGTTGTCACTAATTATAGATTAGGTAATAACTTCATTGTTAATTTATATTAAATTTAAGTAAAACGGCGGGGATGAAACTAACTTAAAAATATTTCATAAGTTACTGAAAAAGTCAAGTAGATGAATAAAGTACCTAATGCTAAAATTTTACACAGGATGTTTAAGAAAATGAAATGAAATGAAACTCAGAGATTAATGATACATTGGAAAACAAGATGTTTCCTTAGATTTCTTCCTATTGTCTATTTTATATCAAATTTTGTTCAGATAAATTCAAAGAATTATGTTTTGTTAAAGGTATTAAGCTACCTAATTCAAATGAATCCAAAACAATTATTTTAAAAAAATCAAAACATATCCAATCCACAGACAAGCGAGAAACAATTACTCTATAGGCTATGTGCTCTAACTATTATTGGATTATACCACGCTAATACTCATTAAACTAATAATCATCCAAAATAAAATCTAAATAAGAATTAATAAAAAAACTGATATGTTTATACTTGATATGTAAATAATATCTGCAGTCATTCAGAGAAACATCATAGGTATATTCTTGCTTTCACCTTTGACAATGTTTTATCATACAACAAACAGCTGCTACAAAGAGATCCTATTGTAAAATAGAAAATAATGAAAACATATGACAGCTAAAAATATAATACAGGGTGATCCATTAACGTCACGGAGCGGCTGTATATAGGAAATTAGACGTGCTACGATTACGGGGTAAAAAATTTAATTAACAAATACGGCTAAAAGAAATTTATTTAAAATATTTTCAAGTTTGTAACTTCACCGCTCGTGGGCGCAACTGTTATAGTATTACGAAAAATTGTAACTTTTTCGAAATTTCGCTTATATAACCTAAGTTGAAAATACACTGTTAAACCTTTCAGTTTTGTTTTTTTTTGTTATTACTACAGCAACGCTAGTATTAAAGGCGCCATTTTGAAATTTTTAATATAATATAATAAAATTTATATTTATGACATGGGAATAAAAATATTATTTTCCTGCGCAACAGTAGATGACGCTAATCAGAGAAGTTTTGTAATTGTCTCCATTTGCAAATAAAAACATGCAACGATATTTCATTCCGGATAGACCATTTATTAAGGAAAACAAATACACAAACCGAAGGTCGATATCTTTTTAAGTGAAAATAGTGAAGTTGTGCCAGAATATCCTTCTTTATTAGTTATCTAAAAACATTGACACAGTCCAAGCCAAAATTAAATTGTAAAACTATACTAAGCTTGTCATTAAAAATACTTCCTTTATTTTGAAATTTTTTTAATACTTGGGTACAATTTTTCATTTTTTTATTAATTACAAATATCTGAGTTTATTATATTATATCTAAGATTGTTGTTTCCATAACGAGGCAGGCTATGCCTTATGAAAATAGACAACTGAAAATTTAGGCCAACCGAAATGTGATAGCTCTTGCTACGTGCAAAATTAGTGCTTTTTTGTGTTGGAACAGTACTTGTGAACAAGGAAAATGCCTTTTACGAATGTGGAAACGTATATGTTGGCAGTTTACTTTCAATGTTTGGAACATGCCATTATAGCTTCAAGAGAATACGCTTTGCGATACCCTTGTAGAATACGCTAGTCCAGAGAAGTATTTCAGCGTTTAGCCAGACACCACTACATTCTGTACGAAGATATCGCCGTGCAAAAACTGAATATAATATTATTAATGACATGGCTTGTGTCCATGTAAATCCCCAAATAAGTGTTAGAAAATTAGTTAGAGACCTGCGAATTTTATATGGAACACAAGTACTTTTCTCACAAAAATGACACTAATTTTGCACGAAGCAAGAGCTGTCACATATCGTTTGACATAATTGTTCATTTGTCTATTTTCATAGGAC